GTGCCGCCGGCTTTAAAGTGAAATTATTTGGGAGTTTAGGGCCGCGAGTGCAATTAATTATTAATTTTGACTTTATTTTTGGTAATTATACAGTTTAGCCACTCACCTCAAAAATCGATGAACATAGGCTCATTCGACTCGTTTATGCTTAAAACGAAAGAATCTGGCAGAAATAAGCGTCGCTCTGCCCCGCGAACCGAGTTATTAAGCGTTAAAGTTGACGATTTCATGTTAGGAAATCTGTCATACCGACGTTACGTTGCGACTGAAATATGCTCTGTGGTCATATGCGCATGCTCTGTGATCACATGCGCATGGGTTGTACGTACTTTTCGGTAAGAGTGCACGAAATTTAAAGTCGTAACCCATGTAGACAGTGGGGTGTGTGAATAGTAATGCTTGGGTTCGGGCGGCTACGCCGCCCAAAAACTACAACAAATCAGTGCTTTAAAAGCACAAATTCACTGCTTTAAATACACAAATTCACTGTTTTAAATACACAAATTTTTTGCATTAGCAGTGAATTTGTGTATTTAAAGCAGTGATTTTGTGCTTTTAAAGCACTGATTTGTTGTAGTTTTGAAGCGGTACTTTCTTGGAATATTTTAGAAATATTCCAAGCGGACACTGTCTCAGCTGTAACTTCCACGCGGTTAGGCCCCAAGCGGGTAGGATATGATATTTTTTTATTTCGTGAGGGCGGCGTAGCCGCCCGAACCCAAGCATTACTATTCACACACCCCACTGTCTACATGGGTTACGACTTTAAATTTCGTGCACTCTTACCGAAAAGTACGTACAACCCATGCGCATGTGATCACAGAGCATGCGCATATGACCACAGAGCATATTTCAGTCGCAACGTAACGTCGGTATGACAGATTTCCTAACCTGAAATCGTCAACTTTAACGCTTAATAACTCGGTTCGCGGGGAAGAGCGACGCTTATTTCTGCCAGATTCTTTCGTTTTATGCAAAAACGCGTCGAATGAGCCTATGTTCATCAATTTTTGAGGTGAGCGGCTAAACTGTATAATTACCTTATTTTTTATTATTGCGCTGTATTCGCTCAGTGGATTCGTTGTGATGAGTGCGCATAGTAATTATTAAATTTCAATAGACTTTCAATTTTCGCCAGCATTTGATTGGTCGATACAAGCCGGCCAATCGCGGTCTTCCGTGATTGGTCGAGGGGCCAAATCGTCCAGAGGCCCCTTTAATTTAATTTAACAGCAATTAAGCTTACTGCGCACTCGTTGTGACCCACAAGTGCATTATATAGAATATCCACTGCCCCCTAAGGTAAGGTGCCTTAAGTGCGCTAAATATTTCGGTGATGAGGGGGTAGGAAAAGTAAAGGGCGAATACAGCGACCTGCCGTATCTATCCAAACATCTTAAAAAGTATCACCCGGGAGACGCAATAATCTATAGATGTTCTAAATGTAATTATAAACCTAAAGGAAAGTATCCGTATAAAGATGTTAAGGCCCATTTCATCAAGTGCCATGTGTCTCTCGCGGCAGCCTCGGTGAGTGCAATAGTGTGGGCTAATTAACAACTAGTGGCGTGGCTAAAGGGACCTCACGATTGACGGAGACGATTGGAGGACCGGATAAGCGCCAGGCCACGACATCGGGTTCGCGGCAACTCACGTTTCCGTTCACAGTCGCCCCTTCGCCATCGCAAGCAGCCAATGAGGCAAGGGCCCAAGGAAGGACGTCAACAACACTGACTAGCAGATCCCCCTCATACGCGGCAGTCACTGCGGGCCCATCGACCAGGAGCACAACCCCAAGCAGAACAACAATCATTATGATATCAAAATGATGTGAAAATGACTCCAAAATGATCATTAAAAATCATTTTTCAATCATTTCCTATTTATTTTAATATCATTTCGACGTTATCATGATTTGTTGTTCTGCTTGGGACATTTTCCACCACAGCCCGCAGTAAGA